ATGTGCAAATGTCTGGCAGTTGCACCCTTTCGTGAATCAGGAGGCACTGCACATGGTCACCTCTGCTTTGGTCACTTCTTGAATGGATTACGGTGAAGCAGTCTGTACAAGGCTATCCTTGAAGAAGATGCCTCCATTTGTCTAGAATGCATGGACAACTATGTTTCTTTAGGTCCATAGTACATTTGTGCTTCAGGATCTACACTGGCTTTTTGCTTTTGGGTGCAATTTAAGGTGCTGGATTTTTATGTTTAAAACCCATTAATCCCATTGCTTCCATTAGTTTGGGTAGGAGGAGCAGATCTAAGTTCTGACAATCAAGGATGGTCAACTAGTAGTTTGCCTTTTCTATAGCTGTACATGCCCTCTGGGATATCATAGCACCGAAGTTTGGGTGGCACCAACTTTGTTTATATTTCAGAAAATCTGGAACATCTGTCTGTTTTCTCAGACAGAAGAGGCATGAGAGTCATTGAGCCCATGTTGCTGATATGTGATGTTTTTGGGAGCCACTCGTTGGAGGAAATGTATTTTTTTTAATATGTTGCATGTATATTGTACTTTTATATTGCATTTTTAATTGTTGTGAAATAATTTATTTTAAATAATTATTTTGTTTATTATTATTAACATTATTATTTTAAATAAATATGATACACTGTTTTCTTTTTGGATTGGTTGAGTCAGTGGCACAGATATTATTGTATTGTTCTATTGTTGTATTGTTCTATTGTACCGTCATACTGTTTTAGATGAAGACACATAAAAAATTGTGAACAAGTTTTAGCTAAAATCTCAAGACACCTACAGTCAAACGCTATGATAAAATTACATCTATTTCAGTCCTTGATTAAAGACAGCAAAGATTTTCATGAGATTTAAAGAAAAACCAACCCTACCATATCTGTTTGTTGAAGCAAAAGAAACATATCAAATAAGGGCAGGTGACTTATCTGTACAGGTAAGTGTCAAACTCGCCGCCCGTGGGCTGGATGTGTCACGTACTGGCTACACCCACCCTTGTTTTAGCGAAGGGGGGGAAAGTCCCGATACATCATGTGACAACAACGTGATGATGCAAGTTTGACACCCCTGCTGTAAAGGAAGTGACAAAACAAATCTTTAAATACTTTCCTGTATTTTCCCAATAACACAGCTAGGCATTTCTAACCTTTTAGTTTTTAAATTCCGTTCCTGTCTGCTTGTTCCATCTTCTTTCCCGTATCAATGCAAGCATATGGTGTATGTGAATTTAATGGAAAGGGTGATACTGTGAAAAAATTGTAATTTCATATTGTTGGACTTCCCCATCTTATACTATATCAGAAAAAGAGAAATTCCCCACTTTTCAGCAGAAATATGCAGGAGAGAACAGTTGTAAGGAAAAATTGTCATGCTTTGGGTTCTACTAACAGTTCCATGAGTACAAAATTTGATATTGAATTTTCTTCTTAACTTTTCAAATAATTTCCATGTTATTTTGCTGTAACAGATTAAACACTGAAAACTATACAGAGACCAGTTTCTTGGCAACCCTTTAGTTTTCAGATTTATTTTACCATTCCACATATATTCTTAATATTGCAGGTCCAAGAAGATAGGTAGCAATTATCAACCAATCATAGCTCATTGTGATGTGTGACCCTGGACAAGTCTTGGTTAATGGTAACTAATGGTGATTTGGCAAGCAAACCAAATTCAGAGCATGGTTGGTGATTCTGTTTGTTATGTTTGATTTGATTTGTCAGGCTAATCACCATTTCGGGTTCACATATAAAAAGAAATTACTTTTTGTTCAAAATGCTAATCCAGAACATACCTTTTAAATCATTGAAACATAAACCCTCTGAATTTCAGTCAACACAAAGGAGTACTTTGTGAACAAGATAGCAAAAAGATGCTTTAATTATTATAATGATAGTTTAGGCCTCATCAGTAATTCCCGCTATTGTGGTTTAATGCTACTGACAGGAGGGCACTTGAGATTATTAAAAAAAGCTTCAGTAGCTCTGAATATAAATGCTTTTAGAAGAATGTTTGCTGAGATTTTCAAACAGAGCTATTCAATGCTGTTCTATTCTTTTAAAACTATGCATAAACAAGAGATCAATTCTAAGTTATTTTCTGCCAAATTCCTTCCTGGATTTTTAGATATAATTTTATCAGAAACTTCTAATACCAGAATCGTGTTGAAAAATGAGCTTTCCTGAAAAATTATATATATTGTATTTCTTACTGGACTTTTACAAACCTACCACAGCCATCATAAAAACATGAAGATTAAGCATCATTCTAGTTGCTTAAAAGCTGTTAGAGATGTTTTTAAAAAATTACCTGAAAAACAAACAGTGGAAACAAAATCTTTTTTATTCTTGGTAAAAATGTGTTTTGCATTTGGTGGTGGAATTCAGTATATATGTTCTAGCAGTTAACATCTTTAAAGTATTAGTTTCACAAGCTCACTTTGAGTTAGAAAGGGAAAAAGAGCTGAAGTTTGAGTTGGAATTATTATGCCTTTCGTATATAGAAAAATGCTTTTCAGAAATACTGTACAATTTCATATAGAGATACGCTTTTAAAACTTAATTGAATTAGTTTTATTTTTATTCTCTTTGGCTTTCTTGACATTTAGCTAATTGTGAAGAGTTTTATTTGCTTACTGATTGCACCATTTAGATCGTGTATGAAATGTGTTTGAGTTTATAGAATATGCTGTAGAATATGTTGAAATGGTAGGAGAAGCGTCTTTGAAAAATATAGTCCTTAATTAAATTACAGGAGTAATCTCTTTTCAGTGTATTGGTTTTTAAAAACAGGTTTAAAAATGGACCAGAAATAAATTGTTGTAATGTATCTTTACCCACCAGTGGGAATTGACTTGCTCCCTAATGATTTAACTTGCTCCCTAATGATTAATTTTGGGTGATTTGGCTGTAATTGGGTGTAATGATAAATCTAATTTATGGTTATGCTCATTATAGCTGACTTTTCCCTCCTGCACTGTACACCCTTCTAACAATCACTTGCTTGTTTTACCATCCTGATGTCATTTATCTGCTGCTACTGGTTTGTGTAATGATTATCATGTTTGAGTAGATATCTTTGGGCTTTCATTCTTTTTTCTTTTTAATTGAAATGAACAGAGGAGCAGAATTAAAAAGAAGAGTGTAATACACACACAATCATGGAGCAATAAGAATAAAACACAATTTGTGAGTGTATACATATATACTGTCAATCCTATGGAGAAATAAAAATGTTTTAATCATTTGTATTTAATATTTTTACTGAGAAAGATGATTATGTAGATGAAAGACATCACTTAAAAATAAATCTATTGTTTCAGATTATTTTGGTTATATGGGAAACCATTGATCAAGAGACTTCTTTTATGGTAACTTTCCATGAGTTTTCCTTAATCAACTGACTTTGTTCTGTTCGCAACTTTTTATAGGTTTTTCATGAAATAGTCTCTGGACCCCTAATCACATTTGTGGTTCTTCTCTGCACTCTTTCTAGAGTCTCAGTATCTTTTGTGTATCATGGGGACCCAAACTAGACTCAGTATTCCAAGTGTGGTCTTACCAAGTCAGTATATAAGCATTATAATACTTCACATGATCTTGATGCTATTTCTCTACTGATGCAGCCTAGGCCTGCATTAGCTTTTTGGCAGCTGCAGCACATTGCTGGCTCGTACTTAAGTGGTTGTCCACTACGACTCCTAGATCCCTCTCACAGATACTGCTGTTGAATCAAGTATAACCCATTCCATACCTCTGCATTTGTTTTTGTTTTTCCTCGTCTAAATGTAAAACCTTTCTTTTCTCACCGCTGAATTGCATTTTGTTGGATAGGGCTCACTATTCAAGTCTGTCAAGATCTTTCTGGATCTTGAGCCCATCTTCTAAATGTTGGCTATTCTCCTTAACTTGGTGTCATCTGCAAATTTCATGAGTTCGTCTATTGCCTCATCTGAATCATTTATGAAGTCGTTGAAGAGTACTATACCTAGGACAAAAACCCGGGGTACCCCAATGCATATTTCCCTCCATGTAGATATAGTTCCATATTAGATATTAGGAATAAGGTCAAAGACCTGGTAAAATACTAGCCACCTGAATTGTACTTACGACATTGTTAACAAAATCTTGCTACTATTATGGACTCTTGGGTTAAATTACATACAATAATGATTCTGACTCAATCCTGTTATTTTTATTCTCAGTTATGTAATTCCCTAACAAATGTAACTAAGGAAGAAATAATGTTTATATAATAGAGGTTTTCCTAAATCAATTTATGATCATACTACTTATTTATTTGTATTAGAGTTCCAAGAAATAATAAATACAATTTTTTGGAAAAGTTTCCAGATTTATAAAATCAGCTTTTTCAACCAGGATTTTAAAAAAATAAAATAGTTATATCTGGTTGCCCTTACTGGATTTTTGTTGAGAAAGATTGGTTGACATAGCATTTGGACTTTGTTTTCCTTATTCAAGAAATTAGTCATGGGGGAAGACACATTATATTTTATTTAAATAAAATACAATAAGCTTACTAGTGCTATACAATTAAAGTTGATTTTACCTGCCAGGATGAAGGGGGAAGTTACTTCTTTTCTCTTTCTCTTCCCCCCATTTTTTCCTTCCCCTTCCTTCCTTCCTTCCTTCCTTCCTTCCTTCCTTCCTTCCTTTTCATAATTTGTATTGACTCTTATTTCATTCATTTAAGATTCTTAAGAAAATTATTGGAAAAAATAAAACAAAACCAAGAATGGCATGCAATGCTACATAGCTATAATTTTAAAAAGATTAACTTTTATTTTATGCACAAGTAGCTAGCCTTTTGAGACTGGCAATATGTTGCTGTTTGAATGAACATCTGAATTAAGTATGGAAATATGCATGCAGTCCAAAGCAATTACTTTGGTGGATAACAATTTATGAATAACAATGACACATTGGTGAATTAGTCATATAATAGAGATTTTTAACCTGTGTTCTCTGATTTTGAAATTTGCTTTGCCACTGTTGCTCTTGACTTGTTGCTCTTGGTGCCTTGGAAAAGAGTCATGAGTAACACAGATGGAGTCCCACCTCCAAGGATTTTGTAGTTAGGAGCAATACTGATACAGGAGAAGGAAGAAGAATGAGATGAGGACTGGTAGAAAAAAATAGTAGAACACCTTGCATATCTTTTAAAACCGTGTTTCCCCCAAAATAAGACCCTGTCTTATATTTTTTTGAACCCTGAAATAAGTGCTTGGCCTTATTGCCATGCGCTCAAAAGCCCGATTGGGCTTATTATCAGGGGATGTCTTATTTTGGGGAAAACAGGGTATGTTACTTGTTTATTGGTTTTATTTCTTAAATTTCTGCCTTGCATTTGTGAAAGTATCTTAACTATATACTCTCTCTCTCTCTCTCTCTGTGTGTAAAAATTCTCTGTAGACAGCTTACAGCAGCTTACTGTAGACAGTAAATGTTGATCATTGAATTTGGCACTCAACATATTTTGATGCAGAAATTTTGTCTTGGTACTCAACGCACAAGTTAGAACTTGTTGGTGTTGACTGCCTTGTGACTAACTACATTATTCCTTATGGGAAAAATTTATTTGTTATTCATTGTGGTTCCCGGAACCAATTAACAATGAATACCGAGTTACCACAGTAGTAATTTATAATCCAGTTTTATTATGCAAAAAAAAAAAAAAAAAAAAAGTACTGCATTGTTAAAATGTTATTTTATCCCACCCTGCTAGTAAGTTTAATAAAAATCCATGGAAACAGATGAGTGCACTCTTGCTTAACGAGAATTTTTTACTTGCTGATTTAATTTTGTTACTTGTGGAAAATGTTTCCTGTTCCACTTTTTATATACTCTGTTTTCAGAAAGCATCTAAATTTTTTTAATTTTTTTAAATTTATGCTTAAGGCTATTCTTGACTTTTTCTTAGTTTATTAATTCTAGGCATGCGGATAGGTCTAAATTCTTCTAGTGCCACACACACACTCACGAAACCACTTATTTTTCCTCAACAAATAAAATTAGCTAAGTAATATTGCAGTAACATATTCTGAGTTTTTTGGTTTTAGATTAGCACATTACGTAAAGCAAGCCATTGTCATTTAGAAAACCTGTGCTATAACTTAATGTAATGTGCAAACTAAACAAGTCCGGCTTCAGGCCTGGGTACAGCACGGAAACGGCATTGGTCGCGTTGGTTGATGATCTCTGGAGGGCTCGGGACAGGGGTTGTTTCTCTGTCCTGGTCCTATTAGATCTCTCAGCGGCTTTTGATACCATCGACCATGATATCATGCTGCGCCGGCTGGAGGGGTTGGGAGTGGGAGTCACCGTTTTACGGTGGTTCTCCTCTTATCTCTCCGACTGGTCGCAGTCCGTGTTGGCAGGGGGGCAGAGGTCGACCCCGAAGTACCTCGTTTGTGGGGTGCCGCAAGGGTCGGTCCTCTCACCTCTCCTGTTCAACATTTATGTGAAGCCGCTGGGCGAGATCATCCGTGGATTTGGGGTGCGATGCCATCTGTACGCTGATGATACTCAGCTGTACATCTCCACCCCAGACCACCCCAACGATGCCCTTGAAGTGATGTCCCGGTGCCTGGAGGCCGTGCGGGTCTGGATGGGGAGGAACAGGCTTCGACTCAACCCTTCCAAGACCGAGTGGCTGTGGATGCCGGCGTCCCGATATAGCCAGCTGGTGCCAACTCTGGCTATTGGGGGCGAGTCAGTGGCCCCCACGGAGAGGGCTCGCAACTTGGGCGTCCTCCTGGATGCACGGCTGTCTTTAGAAGAACATATGACGGCCGTGGCCAGGGGGGCTTTTTATCAGGTTCGCCTGATATGCCAGTTGCGTCCCTTTCTGGATCGGGACTCCCTATGCATGGTCACTCATGCCCTAGTCACCTCTCGCCTGGACTACTGCAATGCTCTCTACATGGGGCTCCCCTTGAGGAGCACTCGGAGGCTCCAGCTGGTCCAGAATGCAGCCGCGCGGGTAATTATGGGAGCAACTTGGCGCTCCCATTTGACACCTTGCCTGCGCGAGCTGCACTGGCTCCCGGTGGTCTTCCGGGTGTGCTTCAAGGTATTGGTTCTCACCTTTAAAGCGCTCCATGGCTTAGGGCCCAGCTATTTGCGAGACCACCTTCTGCCACCGATAACCTCCCACCGGCCAGTTCGGTCCCACAGAGAGGGCCTCCTTAGGGTGCCGTCGGTCAAGCAATGCCGACTGACGACCCCCAGGGGGAGGGCCGTCTCTGTAGGGGCATCCGCCCTCTGGAACGAGCTACCCCCAGGAATACGACTAATCCCGGACCTCCGGACCTTCCGTCGAGCTTTGAAGACCTTCCTATTCCAGCAAGCCGGGCTGGCTTGAAATTTTTAAAGGGTTTTTAAGGGGTAATGGGTTTTAAATACTTTGGGAAGCCAATTGGATTTAATTCTGTTTTAAATTATTTTAAATTTTGTATTGTATGTATTTTAATCTGGTTGTGCACCGCCCTGAGTCCTTCGGGAGAAGGGCGGTATACAAATTTAAATATAATAATAATAATAATAATAATAATAATAATAATAATAATAATAATAATAACTTATTCAAATCATGGATAAACTGTGATTTTTGCAGTATGTTAATCCATTAACCTACTCAGTTAACCCAATTTCTATACAATTCTTATGAAGAAGATCTAGCAAGAATACTGACCTGAAAGGTAGCATTCTTTAAGAATTGCATCTTTTTCCTCCTCCTCCTCCTCTTCGCCTTTGTTCTTCATTAAGTATCAGTGTGACTCCAAAAATTCACTCACGTTTTGGACTGTAATGGACCTGGTATAGTTGTATGTGGCAACGATCTTGGCATTCAGGAGGCAGCCCACAAGTGGGACAACTGACATGAAAATGCTTCAGCCCACAGAATGGGGGATTATACAAAAGCACTTTCCTTAGTTTTTTGGAGACTAACAGAAAAGAGGGGAAAAATGCTTTAAGTCTTGCAACATTCTGTTAAAATAACTTTACAATAAAGATGGAGCTTCTACTCCTAGCTATGCTTCTTGTGTGAACTACCTTGCAGGGTCAACTGGTGGAGACTTAAATATTTTGATTTCTTTCCTACTCTCCCTTTGGTGGAGAGCAGTTCTGTAAATGATTTCTTATTTAGTATGACCTTAGAGACAAATTACACATAGGTTTAATTAGAAACTGATTTTGCAACTATTACACAAACCCTGATGCCAAATCAGCTGCCTCAGATCTAGAATTTAGGGATTAAACTACACTAAACTACACTGTTATGACCATATCTGTCAATTCCAGTCCCTATTTTTAAAAACATCTTTGATTGGCAAGATACAGAATGCTAATATTCAAACCATTATACTTCCAGAATCTCTCTATATTGCTGTAAAAGGAAAATGTTTTAAATGTTCCTCTAGCTTGAAACATGCGTGTGTTTCTCTATTGTACTGTTGGTTGCCTGTTCAGGAATTATCTTGTTTTGCCCTGCAGAAAATTTTGGAATACATAGCAGCTCTTTCCAGGGGAATCGTTTTCTATTACAAATAAACTCACTTGACATGTTATGTTTCCTAGGAAGCTACAAATAAACATTTTTTTAATGGATATACAGTGGAAGACAATGAAACTTGCTCTCATCAGCCAAATGGAATTGATTTTGAATAGCAGGGTGTATGTTTAAAATATGAAAGGACTAGAAAGCAACTATATATTAAATTATTTCTGACATCCATTTATTTATTTATCAAATTACTAAAATGCTCTTGCTCCATAACAGTTTTGGATAGCATACAGGATTAAAAACAAGGGAAGGTATTATAACTAGTGAAAGAACAATAGACATCCAGGAGGAGCAATAAAACTGTAACTCGCTTCTTTCTCAAAGGGACCTAATATATTCCCTAACCCAGGCCTGGGGGGAAAAGAGATGGATTTTAAGGCTCATTTAAACAAGGTCAGGATAGGGACTAATGTGAATTTCTGCAGGTATAAGTACTTTTTGTCACGGTTGATAAAAAGTACTTGCACACCCTTGAGAGATTCTACTACAGAGGTAGTTTATTGTATGTGTATATAAATAGGCATAGAAATCCCTTTATATTTATTTATGATTTCTCTCTTGACAAGAAGGGGCTGACATACTGTAAACCCATTGAATTCATAATTTTCACACTGACAAGAAAAAGTCTGTTGCTACCCTCCTCCTCATTATTATTTCATTTCTCAAGATAACTTGTTGCTACTTGTTAAATGATAACTTGTTAAATGATACGTACTCATTTCTATCACTGCAAAATAAAGATTTTAGCCAAGAGGATGCTGCTTCAGACCTCAAGCAGCAGCTGAGGACACACCTTAAGAAGTAGAAGGGAACTGTGATTCATCTAGAATTTCTCAGGCTTAGTTTTTGACATCAATTTCTTTTCCTCCCTCTCAGCCAGTTAGCCAGTCAACCATCTTCCATCGCATAATGATTCCCTCACATTAATATGTGCAGGAAAGCAGAAGGAAGCTGAGAACAGGTCAACATGAGTGGTTTAGCTAAATCACAACTACGACAGAGAAGTGAATAGGTTTTCTAGCCTGGAAAATGCTGGTTTCTACCTTGCCAGCTTTAATCCTTACCTCTGCAGCCTCCAGTGAGTTCACATCTTCAGAATGCACTGGAGCAGAAGAAATGAGATTTTGCAATTGTAAACAATCCATAATCCGACACTTTACCTTCCCCAACACAGTTGCTATGGTAGTAACATAGTTTTGATTTCTGGAGTCAGGACAGAATATAAAATATGTTAGAAAAATACTGAAATCATTTAATAATTAAAATCTGGCACAATAAATTTGTATTGATGTTTAGAAAACTAAGATCCAATATGACTGCCAAGAATGTACATTCCTTATTGTAGAAGTAACAAAAGATATAGCTATTGTGCATGCTTGTGCAATGAATCTACAGTAGGGTGATAACTGAATGAGTGAACATAATTTCATGCTGCTGTTCATATCAGTTTACAATACTCACCCATTGAAACATTAAACAGAAACAGAAATAATCACCCAACAACCAAGTTATACTCACTTATGAATAAGCTTTTTGAAAAGATACCGAGTTGGTGTCAACTAGACTTCTGGAGAGGACTACAGCGAAGAATACCACAGAGAAATCCTATATCTTTCCCCCAAAGTTCTCGCCTCTCACATCTATGGTAGTACCAACATCCAGACAATTAAAAAATCAGTAAGGTGGAACATTTGAATAACCACTTTATAACTAACTGTTACAAAGTGAAGCTGATTTCCCTTTGTAATGCTATCACCTGGTCCTGGAAATTATGACAGGGCACTTATCACATCTCCAATCTTCAAACTCTAGAGTTGTTTTGACAAGATACTGTGGTTGCTGATATTTGCAGTTTAAAACTCAATACTTCCATGTTACTATAAAGAGGAGGATACTTTCCAGTAGAAATTTATATATACCATAATCTATTTTTTAATTTGGCATTCTTTAGATGTTTTGAGATTATATCTTCTAATAATCACCATCAATCTCCTTGCTAACTAGATTTCTGCAAGTTGTCCTAATATCCTGAACAGAAATTTCCCAACAATACATTTTGGAACTAGAATTGAAATGAAATAGTTATGCTCGTTCTGAATAAGTAAGACATTTTATATTTTAATCATGAATATCATGACTCAAGTGTTAATGTATCAGTGTATCCCAGTACTTACCAGAAAATGAAAAAAAAACAAACCCAAATCAGTGGTGAAATGCTCCCTGTTTGGACTGGATCGCCCGATCTGGTAGTGATGGAGGCGGGTGGTTCGGAGAACTGGTAGCAAAAATCCCTGCCCCCCCCCCCCCCACCCGCCGGCCCCACCAAAAACCAAAGACTTTTTTTTACTTTTAAAAGCATTTTTTCTACAATCTCTTCAGCCGAAAAAATGCTTTTAAAAGTAAAAAAAAAAAAAAAGCCTCTGATGATCGCACGGCTCAGCTCGGATCTTCAAAGGCTTTTAAAAGAAACACCCCCCCTTTTTTTCTTTTAAATGCCTCTGACGATTCAAGCTAAGTTTTTTAAAAAGCCTCTGCTGATCAGGCAACTCAGCTGGGATTGTCAGAGCCTTTTGAAAGCATTTTTTTACAACCTCTTCGCCGACGAGGTTGTAGAAAAAATGGTTAAAAAAAAAAGGCCACGCCTACCCAGTCACATTACCCCACCACCACCAAGCCACGCCCTCAGAACCAGTAGTAACAAATTTTAGATTTCACCACTGCCCCAAACCCTTCATTCTGTATCTTTGAATCAGTAACTTTTTCTACTGATACAACCAGTTTGTACTTTTGTACTTAAAGTACAAAAATCATTTTGTACTTAAAAAGATGAAAACATGTAGCTAACAATGACCTTTAAATGAACCATATGTCAATCCCAGAAGTGTTGATGAGGTTATAGAATACAGGTAGTCCTCTACTTATAACTGGTTGCTTAGTGACTGTACAAAGTTATGACAGACTCCCCCAAAAACTACTTACAAAGTTTCCAAAGTTACAACAGATGCACTCACCCTCCACACAGTCACGTGATCACATTTTGGGTGCTTGGCAATCAACTCACCTTTACTGCCATTTGCAATATCTCCCAGTCACAGTACTGCAATTTGCGATGTTTTTTTTACTGATTTCCGGCAAAAAAAAGAAAAACACCTATTGAGGAAAATTGATTTGCTTAATGACCATGGCATTCACTTAACAACCACCAGAAAAAGATGTTTAAAAATTGTGACCAGTCAAATGATCCCTCAATTTAGCATATTTCTGGGCTCAATTATTGTTGAGGACTACCTCGATGGTGGGTTCATATCCCGCCACAAGATATGTTCTTCCCTGGTGATAACTCTTAGCATATCTTCACTGATTATGATATAATAGGATATAATAAATGAAAAGTAAATAGCAGACTGATGACATGAATAAGTGTCCATGTGCAGCTTATGAACAAACATTTTAATTTTCCATTTCTTTTATGGAATGGAAAACAGCTCAACTTTCTTGATTTCATTGGATCATATTGCAGTGCCCATGTTCACTCACTTTTGCTTTTTAAGGTTCACTTACCTTTCCTAATGATTTTAATGTCTCTTATCTTCTGCTACCTGCACTTAATTGTAATTGGCAACGAGGTCTTTTTCCTCTGAATCATGTAGCCAAGAATATATGGTCTTTAGATGAAAACAATTATCACCAGTAGACACTTGAAAAACCATAATTTCTTATCCTTGTGCAGAATTCGTTTTGAGGATAAACAGTGGAAATTGAAAAGTCAGTGCATTGTGTATTAAAAAAAATGTGTAGCAAAATAAATTAAGGCTATAATCTTATGTTCCCACTAAAACTAGTGGGTGTTATTTCTAAACAGACACACTTAGAAGTGCATTGTAAATAATAATCTTGTTCATATTGTACTTATCGAATCTAGTACTGATTTGTTTTTTTTAAAAAGAGGACAATATTCTTAATAATGGAATAAAAAATAATTTTCTTTATACTCTCATCTATAGCTGGTCCATTGGAGTTGCCTCTTTTTGAACTGATACCATCACAGAAACAGGTGGTTTTTCATGGCGACCGCTTGCCATTTCAGTGTACAGCAACGTATCTTGACATTACGACACAAGTGCATTGGTATCATGACGGTCACTTGGTTGAAACTGATGAGGAAAGAGGCATGTTTGTGGAGGAGGCCATAATACATGACTGCTGTTTAGTTACACGGTAATGTATTTTTATTTATGTATTTATATATGTGTGTTATATGAGTGCAATTGTTTATGATAATGGTTTTAACAACGTGAATATTGGAACTTGAAAAGGTAAGTTCCCTATCAATATGTTGATAAAAAAAAATTCTCATTTACTTACTTCCCTTCATATTCAAACAAAATACGAAGAAGCCAGTTTCTAGCGGACACAATGCATTTAATACAGGCAAAATTTTTGTTTAATTATTGAAATATGTTACAGTATATGTCAATAATCTCAAATAAAATCAGTGATCCGTAATCCCATTTAGAGCATCTATTGAAATGAATTTTCTTTGCTGTCTTCATGCAAAATCAGAAATATGAAAGAGGGCAATCCTCCACTAGAGAAACCATATATATTTCTTGCTCATCTCTCCAAATCCAGTTTAATCACAAAAGGGAAAATACTGATTTGTTTTTCCTCTCTGGGTGCTTATCTCAGTGTCTATGCTTTCTGTATGTAGAGTAGTGTGTTTAATTAAGTAGTCAATAAAATATGGCCCAGGTTTTGTATACTGAATATTAAAATGCCCCACTATCAGACTTTATAAATAAGTAATGGAATAATTCTGTTCTATTATAGAGTAATTCTATAATCCAACTTTGGACAGGCTGTGCAGTAATTTTGCATTAATAACTGCAGGGGAAAGCCAGATTTTTTTTCTCACTGAATTATCTATTATGTCAGTTATGATTTGGTTTTTGATTTATATTAATCTAAAGATTTAGATTTATTTATTTATTGGTTCGATTAATCTATATTAATCTGGTTTTTAAAGCAGCAATTATGACTGAGATTATCTTGTTAAAATTAGCCACGGTATTAAATACTACATGAACACTTTGCTCAGTATCTCCATAGATGTAGTAATCCACTGGTGGCTAGATAAAAATAAAAAATAATTAACTAAAAAAATAGATTAAAATAAAAAGGTAACTTAAAATGTGCTTATTTTTTCTTATTGTATATTTATTTATACCGCTGTACCATTTCTCCAGTAATGGTATTTTGCCTGGAATATTAGTGGATAAATCACCGTGTTTCCCCAAAAATAAGATCCTGTCTTATATTTTTATGAATCGTGAAATAAGCGCTTGGCCTTATTGCCTTGCGCTCAAAAGCCCGGTTGGGCTTATTATCAGGGGATGTCTTATTTTGAGGGAAATGGTGAGTTATTTTGTTCTTCAGAAATAAATTCATCTCCACATTACTGACAACTTTTGAAACTGTCTTTTAGCATTTGCTTTCTAGATGAGATATCTGGAAGATATCTAGGTTCAGCAGCAGTCCCTGCTAATAATTCTCAAAGCTATGTGCATTGGCAGCAGCTAACATAAATATGTTAATCATCATGGTTTATAAAGTTTCTGTTGAATAATTATGGTCTCAGAGCTATGAGGACCTGCCAAGTTGTTTTAATTGGTGTGTATGTTCTTCATATCAAAGGCAGACTATTATATTCAGAACATTTTTCGACTGTAGGACACTACAGTAATGAAATAGAGATGCTGAATTATATTCTTTATTCTTTATTATATGGTAATTATATTTTGTAGTCTACAGAATTGATTTGATGCACGTTTAAAAATGTCAAACATGGAACATACTTAATATTGCAGGATGTTAACAAGAGAAATCAATTTGTGTAAAAAGATATGCTACGTTCCAGCCTAATCACATTTACAGTAGTCTAATTGAAACCAGTTCTTTTAGGCTTGACTAAGTTAAGCCTTCTGAGGTCTGGATCTATTCCGAGATCTTCTGCTAAAATCAGATCAAGATTGAGTTAATGCTGATCATTTAATTGGCTCTGTCATCAACTAGTGCTTAAATTACAGGATTGTTACACTGACCTTAATTCCATTTTTGGAGCTGAACATTTGTAACATAAACCTAAACTACTGAACTGCTGGGTGCCTGTGTAGATCATGAACAATGTAGGAGAGAATCTTTTTTGACTAACTATTTTTATTCAGTGGCACAAGTTTTATTTTGTGTTATCTCTCCAATATTCCACAATACTGACTAAATTTAGATATTTATTTATTACTCAATTAATAATAAAATGATGTTTTATAGTATACTATAATTATTACAGCATAATATGACATAATATACATACTATATAAATATATTTTATATTTGTAAATGTATACTATACTATATTATTTATAAATATATAAATATATTTTATGTTACTTTATTGTACATATTCTTATTAATCTTTATAATATAATATAAATAATCGTATTATACTGATCCATTGTTTGTGTGTGTGTGTGTGTGTGTGTGTGTGTGTGTGTACAGGTAGTCCTCAACGTCCGTTCACAATTGAGCCCAAAATTTATGTTGTTAAGTGAAAAATTTGTTAAGTGAATTTTGCCACATTTTATGACTTTTCTTGCCACATTTGTTAAGTGAATCACTGACGATGTTAAATTAGTAACACCGTCATTAAGTGAATCCAGTTTCCCCATTGACTTTGCTTGTGAGAAGGTCGGAAAAGGGGATCACATGACTCCGGGACACTGCAACAGTCATAAATGTGAGTCAGTTGTCAAGCATCCGACCATCGCATGATGGGGATGCTTCAAATGTCGTATGTGTGAAAAATGATCATAAGCCTTTTTTTTCAGTGCCTTTGTAACTTCGAATGACATGTGGAAGAGGCTTTCATCCTGCAGTGGACAGACAATGGCTACAATTATACACACACACACACGTGTGTGTATGTATGTGTGTGAGTGTGTGTGTGTGTGAGGAGAGAGAGCGAGAGAGCGAGAGAGAGAAGTGTTCTGTAATTGTACTGCATTTGGCTTTATGGCTGTAATAAGCAATTGTTGATTTCTTTATTATGGCGATTACATAAATAAATGTGCTTAAATTACAATGACTTGGGAACATGTAGGACAACCAGTTTACTCCTCTCTTGGTATTCCTGTAACTAGTTACCCTTATTTGAACTATATATGCAGGCATTTCAGGGGTGGTAACTAGCATTACACTTCAGAATTCTGCTGATTATTTTTAAAGCAATGGGTTATAATTCATAGTTCAAACTGATACATTATTATAGTGCTTTTGATATCTGAAAAAACAATTTATCTCTGTAAAGCTCCAATTAGGGAGGTCTTTTCAGGTTACCCTTAACTATAGCTCCATATATAATCTAATTTAACTGTTTCTTTTAGTGTTGTCATAGAAACTAGGGAAGTATTTACCATAGACTTGATTGTTTAATACATATAGGCACTTTTTAAATATTTTCCAATCCAATGGACTATTGGAAAGAAATAATGTAAAGACTCTCAGGATTTAATTTGCCATCTTTGTCTGTCTGCATCAGTAAGATAAATCAGCAAGAAACAAAATAGAATGGGACCAAATTGAGGGTGGTAAAAATCTAGTCCCTTCTCCTAAAAAGTTTAAGTTTAAAAATGGACAGGATCCATCCAGATGTTTCAGAGAAAAACAAAATTACAATTTTCCCCCACTTTGGGAAATTCAAATGAGCAGGAAGCATGGAATGTTGCTGATGGCTTCATTCTAAGCGAGTGATGGTGAAACTATAACACACATGTCAAAGGTGACATGGCATGATGATTTGGGTGATATGGCAGCATTCACCAATACCCGACACCAACTATTCCCCAAAGTTTGCTCCGTTCTTGTGCAATTTTTGGAAGCTGGAAAGGCCACGCAAGAAAGGGTGGTGTGTTTCTGAAGTGCCACTTTTTGAATGGCTAAAGTCAAAGCCTTTACTTCCTCATTGCTGCCTCATTGTAAACTGCTGAGTGCATTGTTTAAGGTGGTTTAGATGGGGGGGGGGATAAAAAATTGTTCATCTTTTATTTGATGTGTGTGTGTGTGTGTGTGTGTGCGTGGGTGCATGAATAAGAGAGAGAGGAACAGAGTCAAGTTAGGCATTTTTCAAATTTTTGACATGTTGGGACCAAAAATTCACCATCACTTTTCTAAACCACCCTCCTGTCACATGACCTGGTCCAAAATATATGAACTCAGTCTGTTCTCCCTAGTACACTCAAACGTAGAAGAAAGGTGAAACTGGGATTAATTCATTCTAATTAGAAACACACACACACACACACACACACAGAGAGAGAGAGAGAGAGAGAGAGAGAGAGAGAGAGAGAGAGAGAGAAAGAGAGAGAGAGAGAGAGAGAGAGAGAGAGAGAGAGAGAGAGAGAGAGAGAGATATGCCATGAAGGCATCCATCCTAGGTATCCTAAGGTTAATTGACATAGCAACTTTGGTAATACTTTCCTTGTGTCCCAGAGCTGGAAAAGTCTCGTGTTGCCTTAAATCTTGCTGCATCACAGCACACCTTGCCAAGAACTTAACAACTCTGTTGCTGTCCATGCATTTGTAATGCATGATGCTATAAGGGGAGTGATTAATGGTTGCTTTGGGTTTGAATATAATCAATCATAGGAAAAGCCACCAACAATCGCCATACAGGATGAGTCCTGGGGCAGGCACTGTATGGTCTAGATGTGCCACCTAATCCTATTTTTATTCATTTTTATCTAAAAGAATTTCTCCTTCCATCTTAATGATCATAGGGTCGGAGCAAAGAGTTTGTTGTTCTTTCATACAGCCTAGCCTCAATCGGGTTACAGTACTCTGGTTTACATTGGCCTGCTTTCGAAGAGCCTGGATAAGTCAGTGTGGCAGCTTGAATAATTACAAGCACTCCTGATTTGCCTATAGAACACCAGTACTTAACAGTTGCATTGCTTGTCAGCTGGCCAATTTTGAGTGCTGGTTGTCACCTTTAAAGTGCTTCATATTTGGACATCTATGGGACTCTGAATTCCAGATGATATCTGCCTATTCAACAATGTAGAGTGGCCCTTTCTACAGTGCCATTTCTACAGATCACAGAAGCGAGCCTTTCCCAATCGCTGCCCCATTTCTATGGTACAATATTTCCCCAGATGGTTTTTTCC